TCTTGTGGAACGTATACTGCAGAAACATTTGTATTTGGTTTATATTTATTGGTCCTTCCAGTTGAATGCCTTCCTAGTTAGTAATGAATTGATTGAACACTTACAGTTTTGTAACCTTTCTTTAAATGTTGTAAAACTTCTCAAATGTTACCTATGTTTTTGACTGATACAATTACTGTGATTTATATGAAAAAGAGATTGGGCCCTGGAGATGACAAATTTATAAATCTTTTAAAGTTTACAAGGATGGAACATAAGCCAAGATGCAGTGGCACACCTCCTCCCTCCTCTTTCAGTAATGGAATTGTTCACAAACATACTGTATGTGTCATGTCACATTATGACTCATGCCAACATAATGCCGGCAGTGCAAACACATCTTTCTGTGCATGGATCAATTAAGTAGTAGCATATAATTTAGTCTGAGTTTGGGAACGTCTTGAGGTACTCCCTGAGTACCAGTCTGCTATTTAGGGTTAACAGGGTTTGGCCTTGTATAAATCGCATACGTTTGAGATGCTTCTGAGATCATTCAGAATTCACTGACAGGTGCATTTAACCTGCAGTTGACTTTCTTTTGACAAGTGTTTGACCTGCTTCAAGCTCATTTTGCATTCCTATAGGCCTGTACAAAAGCCTGTTGAAACAGGTCCATAATAATATGCGGGAGTAGATTAGTTGGCAATGTCAGGGCTATTCACAAAAGGGTGTGCAAAAGGGGCTTAGTGATACATATTGTTGGTAAATGGCCGATGGTTTTCTAGGCTGATTGCTGGACAACTAGAACATGGACTAAAATCATGGCGCTTTGCATTTATCAAGGTACGTGTGTTTATATAGCTGTTTAATGTTCATTGAGTCATTCTAGGATGAACTTCCACTTTTAGAGATGATTGAAGGAAGCATATACAAACTCCAATGTGTCCTTGGAGGAAACTAGACCAGCATCCCAGCACTAAAGGATTATTCTGAGAAGGAAACAATATTTAGACCTCTCCATGAAGTATTTAATCTGGATATGTGATAATGTGCACATGTTTTTCACACAATTCTACAAGGATGCAAGGTACAAACATATTTGCCTGCATATGACTGCAGACCGGAGATAAGAAAATGCAATGATGTCTGCTCCTCTCTATAGTGATGCTATTTAATCAGATTTTTCTGCATGCCTGACATGACTATTTTCTATTATATTTTTATCATTAGTGCTGCTTTTCAAAGTCTTGCATAAGCTGTGAAGCTTCAGACACGTTGGCTCTGTTCATAGAAGTACTTTGTACATAGAATAGTACTTCTATGGGATGTCTGCCTACACTGGTAAATGTAGATATTTATGGCTGCATTTATAGCATACTGTAAGTTGCTACCACGGCTGTTCATGGAATGGTATTAACATCCTAAGTAAAATTACCAGTTTTATTAATATATCACCACATTCAATAAATAGCCAAACCAAGAGTAGCAACTGCTAGATGTGTTCTTTAATAACAAAATCAGTAAATTAAACCCTTTTAACAAAAGCATTGGGAATAATATTTTTTTCTATTTTAACTAGATAATTGAATATGAACAGTCTAAATCTCCCAATTGATCTGTTAGAATTCAAATCACTCTCCAAAATTAGGTCTTCACCTTACACCAACACTATAAACAGTAGCAATAAAGGTCAATAACTAAGAAAAGTTGCCACAGCTTGGAGTGTTGTGATTAATTTCCGTTTATGACTTGATATGCTGAAGAGCAATGAGCCAGGACAGCATCAGGGATTCTGCAGCAGATGGGTGCTGAGCCACCCACCAGCAGTATACAATTACAATGATAGAATGCTGTGTATACTCTTTGCATAATACCTGAAGTTTTCTTACTTTGCTCGGAGGCCAGCTACTGCATTAGACTCACCTATGCAGTACTGAGCTAATGCAATACTATTGATTATTGATGAAAAAAATAAATTTGACTTGGTCAAATAGGGACAACGGAAGCAACTGCAGGTAAAGATAATAGCAGTGTAAAGAAGGTAAGAACTAAGATGATCAAACAAGTCATTAAATACGTTTTATATGCAACAGTATACATTTATTGTGCTATTATATACAAAAAAAACTGTGACCAAAAAAATCTGGTTTCTGAAAAGCAGCAAATCTTAGCAGTAAAACAGTAATTATTCTGTGCAAAATGCAGAATCTCATATCAGCCAATTGAATTTTAGTTATAGTGACACCAGTAAAACATGAGTCTTGGCATGTGGCTTCTAGTGATTAGCCTGGGCTTGGTGCAAAGCCAGTTTGCCTGCGTTCGCACGAGCCTGCTCAAAGCTGTGACCACCAATCTCCCTCCCAGTCACACCAATCAAAGTTTTGAGCGGGCTTGGGTGAACTGGGTTTTCACCAAGCTCAGGCTCATTAATAGTTGCTACAGGTGACTACATATTGCATTTAGCTCTTTTCCTAAATAAACAAGCCTGATGTATATTACACCATGCACCTAAAAGACTCATCCACTGATAAGTGATATCTCATTTGGTGGTGATGGGGGAGTTAATTCATGGTTACTTGTGTTTTATTACTTCCTATGTCTGAACACTTGCTTTAAGAATTAAAATGGATTCTCATTTCTTTTGGATTTGTTTGAATTCTAAATTATAGAGGATACAACTGGAGGACTTGGTACTGCTCAGAAACTGCTGTGGCAGGAGTAAGACTCCAAAGAAGATAACTATGCTATGAAATTTCTTTTTAAATAATCTTTAATACATATAAGAATACGTATAAGAAGCCAGTGGGTGATTCAGCTCACCATTCTCGCCTATATCTGAAATATAAATTCTAGGTGGACTGGCTGCTTTAAGTAAAAAACGGCTCTTTATATTACATGAGTACGTTTGTGTGCATTAAGGTGGTTTGGTTGGCATTACAAAAATCATTTGCATACTATACAGACTTGGAGTGTACAGTCCAGTCTTTCAGTTTCATATGCATGCATGAGTGAAATAGTATCTGTACATTATCTGGACGGATGGATAATATTTCTGTCCCAGCTTGACTCTACATACATCATTGACTGTAAGCTTATTAGTATACTTGGTGAGCATTACAAAATACCAGCTATACTTATCATAGTAGTAAACACACCAAAATATAGTTAGACCCCATACATACATGAGCACATCAAGTACGTTTGTCTCTATTTTGAAGGACTGCACTACATACATGTGCCTAACTGGCTGCTTGTAACAAGACCTTCTTGAGATCCAGACAATTTTAGCTGGCTGCATACATTGACTGAAGTTGCATTTGTCAAACACGTCCTAAATATTTAATTAAATATTTGGAGGTCTTCTGTGAATGCACAGCAAAACAATGTATAAGCTGTCTGAAACAATGGTAGCCTTCACTGATATCTCACCCTCATCTCCACCCTTCTGCAGGTGAGTGCAGTGACCCCACCTTGAATGGAGATCACCTACTCAACTCACTTACACTGCACACCAAGCCATAACAACCACTTATTTGGCCAAAAGTATGTAGACACACGGACATTTTATTGAGTTTAGGTGGTTATAGAAAAGGGTACAGTTAATGCTATAGCATTCAAATGCTCAATTCAACATACTAAAACACCAGGATAAGTATACCTATTAAAAAGTGAGTTATTTGCAGTTGAGTCTAATAACATTTTATAAATAGTCACATTGGTAAATTAGAGTGACTAACCCATGTGTTAAAACTTTGTGAATTGAGCCTATAGACATTTTAGACAATTGTGCATTTCCTATCTTTTGGCAACAGTTTGTGGAAAGTTCATTGTCTGTTCTGTCATGACTGTGCCCCTGCAATCTATAAAGACATGGTTTGACAAATATGGTCTGGAGGAACTTGACTGGCCTGCACAGAGCCCTGACCTCAAACCTACTAAACATAATTTAGATAAATTGGAATGCAAACTAGACTCACTAGACCAGTGGTGGCGAACCTTGGCACTCCAGCTGTTCCAAAACTACAAATCCCAACATGCATCTGGCTCTGGGAGTTATGTCTGTGGCTGTCAGAGCCTTGCAATGCCTCATGGGACTTGTAGTTCCAAAACAGCTGGAGTGCCAAGGTTCGCCACCACTGCACTAGACACTCCAAAATCTTGTGCAAAGTTTCGCTGGAAAAGGTAATACCAATGGAATAGGATATCCAACAAGCTAATACAGGTGCAATGGTCAGATATCCAGAAACCTTTGGTCATATATTGTATGTACATGCATTTGTTAATGATAACAGTGATAATTACATTTTTAAATATATTGTTGAAGTGAAACACAAAAATGTCATAAATACCAGCACATAGAATTACAAAGGCATGTCCATCGACACTAAATATTCCAGAAAAGTATTAGATTTGCATTTAATGAGAGGTAAAATTACTATTCCCTGTGTACAAGAGCTGCACCAATACCAGGTAAGTTTACATTTCTTAAAACTATGCATATCAGAGTGCACAATTCCAGTCCTCGAGGGATTTTGCAACACATTATTATCTTGCTTAAATCAGCCACACTTTACTAAATTCAATGGTGTCTACTAATTAAATTCTAAAATTGTATAAAGATATTCTCCTTCTGAGACTGAAATTGTGCTTTTTTGTTGTATATGGTCAACCATTAATTGGACCACCATGTTTAATAAACAAATATATAATAGCTCCTAAAAGTATTTTTCCCACCCTCATATTTGGGAATTACCATTTCTTTATAAATACACACACATCACTATTTACGAATAATTGACTCTGATTTACTAAAGGAATAATTCATGTTCACTTTGCAGGGGAATTTTCACTTCGCTTAATAATTGTGGTAAAAAAAATTCATGCAAGTTAATAAAAAACAGGAATTTTGCTTGCACGTGATTGGATGATAGAAGTCAGGCCAACTTTCTCCTTATTCATTAACCAAAGGGAAAATTTACTATGCAAAGTGAAAATGACTTACACATTGTCTAATTTCCCCTTTACTTAATTTGTGAATGCACATTTCCATTTATGTCATTTTCATCATTTACATCTGACAGCTGGAGAACTTCACATTTTAAACCGCAAAAAGGAAAAGCCAGACTGCATATTTCTTCCCAGCAGTCATTTTCTGCATCATAACCAACAATGTTATGTGTTGCCACCTCCTGGGAGTGCTGCCATTTTTTACCACCTAGAAAAAGCACAGTTTGCTCCACCACCACTAAGCCATAGCAAAACCGATCGAAGGTCATTGGTCTCAAACGAGTCCATTGATTGTGCATTGGATCATATTTTTCTATATCTGAAAATGGTTCATAAATTCCCAAGAATGTGAATATTGCATCCTTCACAGTGGCCATCTGGTGACCGAACCTTGCAATGGTCATAGGTGCTTGTTTTTTCCACTGTCCTTCCAGCTTGTTAAAAGAATACACATCCTTAGTGCTGTTGGTTTGGCCATAAAGTTTGCCTCCTGAGATATAAATTATATTACTATGCACCGCATTGGCCTGACCATGTATTTTGCAAGGCAAGTCTTTAGATCTTGTCCAAGCATCTCTGTTTATGTCATAGGCTTCTACTGATGAATATGTGACTTGTTGATTGCCCCTGCCACCAATAGCAAAGATGTGATTATCTACAACACAACAGGAAAACTGTGCTCTTTGTTCTAACATGGAGCTGACTTGGATCCACTTGTTGAACCTTGGGTCAAAACGATAGACAGCATTTGTAGCTGAGAAGCAAGGACTGCTTGAGCTGCTCTTTGCACTTTCAGTAGTTTCTCCTCCAATCACATAAAGGAAGTTACCAATCACACACATGCAATGATGCTGAACTTTCACTTTTAAGTTTGTTACCATTCTCCACTTATGAGAGTAGACATCAAATCCTAGAACATTCTCAACTAATTCCCCATTGGCTGTTCCGCCAACAAGGAGTATCCATCCCTTTTGGTTCCGTAGAGTGCTGTATTTATCCTGTAAAAGAGGTTGCTTTGTAGGGAAGGAATGATAGTTAATTGCTTTTATGATGAGATTTTTGATGGATGGTGTTAAAGGAACCTCTGATTGCTTGTAAAGTTTCCTGAGAGTATCCAGCGACAAAAGACCAAATCGGACATTTTCAAAAAACACTTTAGCATGTAAAAGTCTGGTTCTGTCATACTGCAGCCACTTAAGAACTAAACTTAATAAGCATTGTTCATTTACTTTAGGGATATTATCTGATTTAATTAGGTTTATCATTGACTTTACATTTAATTCCAGCAGTTCTGTCCCTTTTATCTCTTCTTGTAACAGTTTCCATAAATTATTTGTGATAAACTTTTCTGCTTCTTCCAAAACATCTACAAGGTAATATTTTAAAGCAATATTGGCAACAAAGCAACAGTTTTCCAAGTCACAGCTATTGATCAGAAACTTACTACACAATGGTATCGCATCCACCACCTGGAGATAAATTGCAGCTTCCAAAGTATCCTCCAAAGTGCTCAAGGAAAGAGACAGCCATGCTGTATATATAAAATCTAGAATGTTTTGCAGACCTGTGGCCGAGATAACTTTCAGGTGAATAACAGAAGCCTTGGACTCTGTTGTATAATCTTTAAACATTGCTCTGAAGTAATCACTAGAACAAGCAAGCAATGCCTTGTGTACAGGGAACTCATGGCCATCTACAACTAGTGAAACATCGCACAAGTGTCCATGAGCTCGCAGCATCTGATACTGAGTAAATACCAAGCCACGATGAGACTTGCAGAAAGCCAAAAAATAACTCATGATGCATAATGATTACAGATAAACTAAAAATATGAGCAACAGTCACTTACATAGCTATTGCTGGAAAGTCCTGTGGCAGTTGAAAAGGTTTTTTAACCATGCAATACCTCTGTTGTTTTTCCAGTGAAGTTCATCAAGTGTTTTTTATGCTTGTTATGCTATAAAGTCTCCTTTTGTAGCTATCTTCTGGGCTCCACATGCTGTGTGCAGTCCTTCATAGCCTATATAAAGCAACTTTCCTTTCTCAGTTAAGGCAGAGGTCTTGTAACACAGGCATCATGGTCTGACAGCTACTTCATGTTCACAACATCGCTTGAAATCAAAGCAGCTTCTGTTTGTAAAAACCTTTGCAGATGACCCTTTGTCAATTCCATTGAAAGCATTTGTTTAAAGATCAAATCAACAGCCGCGGATTAGAGGTAGACATACCAAATTTAGAAGACTATAGTAAATATCACTGTCATAGTTTGACTTGTGTATCTTTGGTCTTGGGTGAATGATCTCATCATAACTCACAGCTACAGAAATAGAATACAAACACAAGACCGCGTTACATAGCTTTCCGAGATCAGAGTTGGAGCTGAAAGTCGACAGACTTGTTTCTGCAATGAAGCCAACAGCTAATTTGAATACTGTATAGTCTATTGATTATTGTTAATGCATGCCCATTTTAAACCCTATGCCATGATTCAAATAAATGAACTGGCTATTCTGACATGTTAGCATATTGCTCTGTAAAACCAATACTGTGCTATATATCATTGTAACTTTAAATCTTAAGTAAACTTAAAGTTGCAATCAGTTATATACTGTATATTCCATGTGCATCACAAACCTTACGATCTGGGTGGAAGCAGTGGTCTCTCTACAGAAGTCTGACATTCCCCCTGCTGAAACAGACTTATAGCTCTGTCATCAGTAAAACACTTGCTGATTGGAGATCTGTAGCCCTGAGTAAGCAGGGGGGTGTGCTGGACCTCCGTAGAAAGATCACTGTTTCCGCACAGGCAGCAAGGGAGATCTCTGCAGTTACTGGCATGGGGCAAGACATTTCTACTCAGGCTGATGAATCCCCTTTTGTTTTGATGCACCTGGAATGTAGTTAGCTGATTTCAACTGAAAATTTATTTTTGTAATCAAAATCATAGCTCCCTATTTTTTTTTCTCTGATGTCTTTCTAATTTGAGCCTAAGTTACCAATATACTGTCATGATAAAACTAGAGAATTAGAAGAAGACATAAGTAGTTTATACCTATTACTTGGTAACTTCATCTGAAACTACAAAATGAAACAAATACGTCACCATTCAGTGTATTACCTTTGGTAGAATGTTAATCTCAGTACTCAAAAAGTGTCTCTAGGTATGCTTTATGCATTTCCTCTGCAGTAATCGTTCATACTTCGTGCTGATATCAATGTGCTGTCATCTACTGCATTGCTTTGCCAAAAAGAAGAAAACAAGTCTGCAGTAGAAAATAGATCACAGCATTAACTCCTACATGCCATAGTTAATATGCATATATTACTACAGCCTAATATTCTCATTCAGGTGTCAATGTTCTTCCATAACTGGCCCTAAATCTACCAGCGCATTGCCACTTCTCTCGCCTTCCTCATATTATGGGTAGCAGCACATTTCAAAGCAGTATATTCAATATATTTCATTGGAGCAGATTAAATAATTATAAGTAATGTTAAAATCTGTATGTGCCTTTGTTATGCCGTGGGCAGATTATTCATTGTCAGTGTGCAGGGGCGGACTGGGTGGTCCAGGGAGCCCCCACTGACCACCAGGGTAAGGTAAGGTGACAACATTGTTAACATAAAATCCGGGGATATTTTTAAATGTTCCAGGTAACATAAAATAAAACATTTATTTATTTTTTTAAATACTCACCTGATCCCTGGATTCATCGCCAAGTGCAGCCTCCTGTCAGAAGCTTGCGCGCACTGTGCAGCTTTTAAGAAGATATTCT